GAGGCAGCAGGGCATGGAAAGGGCGTGCACTCCAGAGCCAGACTGCCTGGCTTCCAAACCTGGTTTTGACATTTAATAAATAAGTTGGGTAAGTTGCTTCACCTCTTTGTGCTTCACTTTCCTCATGTGTGAAAGGAGGACCCTCACAGGGTTGTCATGGGGATTGAATGAATTAACATCTGTAAAGAGCTTATTAGTTGCTTACTAGTGCCTGCTGTGTGTTTGCTGAATGACAGTGTGTCAGTTTGGATGGTCCACAAATCTGTGGGTGATGGGGGGGGCAGGTAGCAGACATGCCAGTTAGAGATTGCGTTTGGCTGCTAGAAGCAGATACTCAAGTTCAGAGATAAAACGTGGGCATGTTTGGATTCTTTTCTGACCCTTGTTTGTATGTGCCACTCCACAGTGTGTGCACACTCAGTCGCGCGTATGTGTGTGTCTGCGTGTGTGTCTGTCTGTCTCGTGTCCTAGCTCTTCCCCTCGCCCACCCCCTTACCTCCATTTCCCTTCCCTATAGTCCCCATACCCCTGCTGTCCTCACTCTGGTTGTGGGGAAGGTGGTGGGGACGCTGCGGTGTGGACTAGGGGAGGTGGAGTCATGGACTCGGAAACGGGTACTGTCGCTGGGCACCCTCACCAGCTGGGTGGCATCCCGTTCTCAGCTCTCTGCAGTGCCTACATAGGTGGGCTGTGCCCCCAGGGAGGTGGGGCCCCCAGGAGCCAAGGCCACAGCGGCCCTCTGGCTGCTGGAGTCCACAGTATGCCTGGGACACACCAAGTCCAGAGCTCAGGGGTCCCAAGGGAGGTGCAGCTACTCTCGCTCCAAATCCTCCCACTGAGGCTCTGCCTCACTTCTCTGTCTCTCTTCCCTCTCCCCATTGGATTTCCCCCTTTTCTCCCCAGTGAATGTCAGGTGCATCTAGGCCAACTGGCCTGAGAAATAGACCACAAGTGTCAAAGCTGGTCCATTTAGGTCCAGTTCCCGGAATGTGGGTTCTGGTGGAATCTGCATGTGCTGTTTTTTTTTGGTGGTGGTGTGTATCCAGGAGTGGGCTTTCTCTGCCCTGCCTGGGCTGAGGGTTTGGGGGGCCCTGGAGGTGCCTTTCCACCAGGTGTAGGCCCTTTGGAACACTGGGACTGCCTACTGGGGACAGGGCCGCTCATATACCTGATCCCTTGGAAACCAGCAGTTGGGTTGGCTGGTGCTCAGGGGTCGAGCCCACCACTTGCCCGGGTGTCTGGGGGGAGGCTCCCCCTAGGGCTCTGAGGCAGCAGAGATGAGGGGGCACAGCACCCTCTCTGCCAGGTTGGGTGAGTGGGCTGGGTCAGGGGAGCCCCCGTGCACGGGTGTCCCGGCCTGTGAGTGTGGGCAGGAGCCCTGTGTCTATTAAAAGGCGGAGGCGGCTTTGTGGTTGGAGTGTTGCCAGAAGCTATAAATAGCTATGAGTGTGCAGAAGTAGCTTGCCAGGGAGGAGGGAGGGGGATCCCTCTCCAGCTGGCAGCACAGCCAAGTAGGGGGGTGCCTGGAGTCTCCTAGTCTCCCTGGTCCCCCTGGGGCTCTGAATGCAAAGCTCTTGGCAGGTGTGGGTGTGCACATCCCCCAACTTGATGGGGCGGGTGGGGGGTATGTTGTGAAGGAATGGCGTAAGTGGCAGGGAGGGGTCTGACTCTAATGTAACAGCCAACGTGCCAGCCATTGTTCTTACCACCCTTTAAATGCATTAACTCATTTCCCTGTTGGAACAGCCAAGGAAAGTAGGAGCTGTTACCATCTCCTTTTCACAAGTGGGGAAATGGAGGCACAGGGTGGCTGGGTGACTTGCCAGAAAGCATCAGAGCTGGAACTTGAACGGGGTCAAGGCTGCCTTTTTCTCTGTTGTCTGTAGGAGGATCTGGTCAGGTAAAAGTCCAGTGACATCCCGAATCCTTGGGTCCTACCAGGAGCCTTGAGATTTGGAGTTCCTATCCCTGTCCATGTGGGTCCTGCCCACAATAGTGGCCAGAGGGGTCTGTGCCTGGTCAGCAGACTGGAGAGGGGAGCTGGGCCAGCCTTGGCCACTCCCGATGTCTGCTGTCCTCTCTTGTTCGAGCTCCTAGTCTCACACGAGGGCAGGGGCTTGTGGTCTGAGCAGAGAGGGGTTTCCCTGAGGACCCTTGGCTTGGGCTGCAGGCTGAAGCCATCCGTCCTGTTGTCCCCTCCCTGCAAAATCCTGGTGCAGGTTTGCAGCCATGCTTGAATGACAGAAGTGTTCGAAGGGGCAGTTGGGGTTTGCAGTGTTTGGCTATCTGGATGTCACATGAACGGGGGCTGGAAGCGGGCACAGAGTGAGTGGGGAGTGCCCACAGGGGTCTCGAGGGCCAAGCCCCGCTGGGAGGGTCATCTGTTATCACCGCTTGGGGCACATGCTCCTCTTTTTTTTCTTTTAACTATTTTTTATTGATTTATAATGATTTTACAATGTTGTGTCAAATTCCAGTGTTCAGCACAATTTTCAGTCATTCATGGACATATACACACTCATTGTCACATTTTTCTCTGTGATTTATCAT